CTCCCCCGCCCCCTCCTCACTCCCCTTTTCTCTCCAATCCCCTTCACAGGCCGCTTAAGCCAAGCCCAGAAGGAAAAAGAGGAAAAGCAGAGAAATGAGCCTACTGAGGCTCTGGCCACCACGGTCCCCCAGGACACAGGGGAAAAGAAGGACAGAAAACGGAAACAGGCAGCCTCGGAGAGGTAGAGACCTGGGACGGTGGGGAACAGCCACGGATAATGCTGCCTGGGCACGGCTTGCTTGGTGCCGAGATGCAGCCACCTCTGGGGCAGGGCAGGTGGGGAACAGCCACATAGAACGCTGCCTGGGCACGGCTTGCTTGGTGCCGAGATGCAGCCACCTCTGGGGCAGGGCAGGTGGGGAACAGCCACATAGAACGCTGCCTGGGCACGGCTTGCTTGGTGCCGAGATGCAGCCACCTCTGGGGCAGGGCAGGTGGGGAACAGCCACATAGAACGCTGCCTGGGCACGGCTTGCTTGGTGCCGAGATGCAGCCACCTCTGGGGCAGGGCAGGTGGGGAACAGCCACATAGAACGCTGCCTGGGCACGGCTTGCTTGGTGCCGAGATGCAGCCACCTCTGGGGCAGGGCAGGTGGGGAACAGCCACATAGAACGCTGCCTGGGCACGGCTTGCTTGGTGCCGAGATGCAGCCACCTCTGGGGCAGGGCAGGTGGGGAACAGCCACATAGAACGCTGCCTGGGCACGGCTTGCTTGGTGCCGAGATGCAGCCACCTCTGGGGCAGGGCAGGTGGGGAACAGCCACATAGAACGCTGCCTGGGCACGGCTTGCTTGGTGCCGAGATGCAGCCACCTCTGGGGCAGGGCAGGTGGGGAACAGCCACATAGAACGCTGCCTGGGCACGGCTTGCTTGGTGCCGAGATGCAGCCACCTCTGGGGCAGGGCAGGTGGGGAACAGCCACATAGAACGCTGCCTGGGCACGGCTTGCTTGGTGCCGAGATGCAGCCACCTCTGGGGCAGGGCAGGTGGGGAACAGCCACATAGAACGCTGCCTGGGCACGGCTTGCTTGGTGCCGAGATGCAGCCACCTCTGGGGCAGGGCAGGTGGGGAACAGCCACATAGAACGCTGCCTGGGCACGGCTTGCTTGGTGCCGAGATGCAGCCACCTCTGGGGCAGGGCAGGTGGGGAACAGCCACATAGAACGCTGCCTGGGCACGGCTTGCTTGGTGCCGAGATGCAGCCACCTCTGGGGCAGGGCAGGTGGGGAACAGCCACATAGAACGCTGCCTGGGCACGGCTTGCTTGGTGCCGAGATGCAGCCACCTCTGGGGCAGGGCAGGTGGGGAACAGCCACATAGAACGCTGCCTGGGCACGGCTTGCTTGGTGCCGAGATGCAGCCACCTCTGGGGCAGGGCAGGTGGGGAACAGCCACATAGAACGCTGCCTGGGCACGGCTTGCTTGGTGCCGAGATGCAGCCACCTCTGGGGCAGGGCAGGTGGGGAACAGCCACATAGAACGCTGCCTGGGCACGGCTTGCTTGGTGCCGAGATGCAGCCACCTCTGGGGCAGGGCAGGTGGGGAACAGCCACATAGAACGCTGCCTGGGCACGGCTTGCTTGGTGCCGAGATGCAGCCACCTCTGGGGCAGGGCAGGTGGGGAACAGCCACATAGAACGCTGCCTGGGCACGGCTTGCTTGGTGCCGAGATGCAGCCACCTCTGGGGCAGGGCAGGTGGGGAACAGCCACATAGAACGCTGCCTGGGCACGGCTTGCTTGGATATGTAAGGCACTGATGCGCCTCTTCCCACCCCCAGGCATCCGGGAGGTCATGCTGGAGACGGTCATCCCCAGGGGCGCTGCAGGCTGGGGGATGGTGGTGCTGGGGGAGCACGCCGGCAGGGGGAGGGTCCCCCACCCCAGCAGGGACTGGGGGGGCAGCTGGGGGATATTGATGGGGGAAGAAAAGGTGGGGTGGGTAGTGGAAGGCCCCGCGGCGGGGGGAGAACATATGGAGAGGTTGGGGGGGGCTGAAAGGGTTTCTTCCACCCCACCCATGCCGGACTCACTGGAGCTTCCTGTCTCCCAGGTGGGTCGGATCCTGCAGCGTGACCAGCAGCGGAGCCGGGCGCTGGTGCAGCTGCAGCGCAGTGAGGATGAGGATGTCCTGGCGCTGGACTACGATGCCGTCTGCCACTACGTGGGGGGCACCGAAGACGACTGAGCCCCATTCTGCCCCTTCTGTGGGCCAGGGGATGGGGGCGTGGCCTCTCTGGGACGTGCTCCCAGGTGGGTCGGATCCTGCAGCGTGACCAGCAGCGGAGCCGGGCGCTGGTGCAGCTGCAGCGCAGTGAGGATGAGGATGTCCTGGCGCTGGACTACGATGCCGTCTGCCACTACGTGGGGGGCACCGAAGACGACTGAGCCCCATTCTGCCCCTTCTGTGGGCCAGGGGATGGGGGCGTGGCCTCTCTGGGACGTGGCTGGACCTTGCTGGAGTTCGGCACTGGGAAACAGGTCGCCATGGCCGGGCCTGATGCTAGAACAACACTGGCTGGCTCCAGTGGGTGCTGGAGCAGATGCAGCAAGACCTTGATTGTGGCCAGCTGGGCTTTAGAACCAGGCTCCCACTGGAATGAGAAGCGAGTTCTAGGCTGAGCCGAAAGCTGGGTTGTGGAGCAGAAAGGATGGATCCGTCAATGGGTTTTTAATGGGCTGTACAGAAAGCCGCAGTATTCTAGAGCATTCGATGGGTTCTAGAGCACACGAGGCTTTGGGTTCGCAGGGAAGCCTCAAAGCGGGTTCTAGAGTGAAGACGACCTGTTCTAGAGAGTTCTAGATCATGGCGGTTTTTAAATCCTTCTAGCGTGGGGTTTAAACGGTCCAGAGCGACTCTGGAGTGACCGTGTCAGGGGGGTTTTGGAGACAAACGGGCTCTAGAGGCAAAGTGGATGTGGGCCCTGGAGCTGGTTTACACTAGGCCCAGGTGCAGTGTGCTGGGGGGGAGGGGTGTTACAGCAGAGAGGGGGCTTGGTTCTAGTTAGTCATTTTCAGTCAATGGCCTTTGGAGCACCGGGCCTGGGCTCTAGATCAAGTCCGGTGCCTGCCATGTGGGGGTGAGCCCGGAACCTGCCCTTTCTGGAGCACCGGGCCTGGGCTCTAGATCAAGTCCGGTGCCTGCCCTGTGGGGGTGAGCCCGGAACCTGCCCTTTCTGGAGCAGTGGGCCGAGCTGGTGGTTTTAGTGGCAGTATTGAAAGGGAGGCAGCCCCTGCCCCATGGGAGAGGGAGATAGCGGGCTAGGGAAGCCTGCGGCTTCATGCCTCAGCTGGGGGCCAGGGCCAAAACCGTGCTCTGCGGGGGGGGTCTTGTTGAATGTGGGGCCTCAGCATGAGCCCTGGCAGGGTGCCCCCCATGCCAGCTTCCAAGATGGCTGCCAGGGCTTCACAACTCCTTGCCTGTGGGCACTTTGTAAATCAAGGCGGGATAAAAGTTGTAAATAAAGGC